TGACTGTGTATAAAATAAAAAGCAAACCGCACCCCCGCGTGCACTCACATAACAATATCGCAGTATATTTTTGCAAATGTGGATTTTAGACTTTAGTGAAACACTGTGTAACGTATGTTACATCATTACGTTTATTTTATAAGCATCATAATATGCACATTAAGCATATTATGCGCTGACTATAATAATATATTAAGCCCCTCCGGTTTAGGTGACACATATATATTTTATGATTGTAAGGCTCCGGCCAATATCCCTATGTAAGAGAATACCAGTTCTCCGCGAGTCAATCACGTGCACCTGAACTCCGTACAATCCTACATTTTTGGTAACTTTGTTCGTAAATTGTAAGTTATAATAAATAATTTGTTTATATTAATAATAATTTAGATCAATCGTTATTTATTTGTAATATTAAGATCCTAATACCATTCGTGCTCCCGAGCTACGGTAAAAATATATTCAAAAGAATTAATTTCTTCCCTGAATATCTTATATTTAACGGGTCATCCCCGACCACGTTACAACTGAAACTCAGTTTCGTATTTCAAATAATATAGCTTACTGAGTGACATAGCAGTATGAACACTTATTATACAAAATTAAGAGAAGAAGTTTATCTAGGTTTGCATAGGAGTCGATTTTCGATATTCTATTTTAAATATCCAATTTTTAACTCTAAAACTTGTAATATTTTACTTTTTGAATTTGAATTATTGAATTTAGTAATTAAAATATCATAAAGTGACTTCTATACCTACAGACATAGATTAACTTCTCTTCTACAATATTCATAATATGTGTATTTACTCTCAAACCGCTCAATAAACCATATTGTTGGAAATATAAAAGTAAATTTTCATAGAATTTTACCCCTTATTAATTAACTACATTTATTACAATCTAAAATTATTAAAATTAAAGTTGGGGCTCGATCGATCCCTCGTACATATTATTACGGATAATCAGAATATTTTTTCAGAATAAAAATCGTAATATTTCTTGACACGTATCGTTGGAATTAGAAACAGTAGTTTTTGACAAGGGGAACGTGCATTCATGAGGCCGCTTAACTTAATTATTTTCGGGCAAAAACAGATTAGCAACTCTAATGCATCTTTAATGGCCTATCACAACGCCGTAAACTTACAATTTAATACAAGGCTCCTACTATATTGTTACAATGGCATTTGAAAAATGTTAAAAATCCTTAGTCACGGTTTTTCTTTATAAGCATTTAAAGTTCAAAAATTGACAAAATATAGAAAAATCACGAAAATTAGCAAATTATTTTGAGGTAAGAATTCGTAAAAATTTTTCTTTTTAAATCTAAGATTTGAAAATCTAATACAAGATTACTCATAAGATTGTCTACCTTTATCAATAAAAAAATCTCTACCGGAAAGTCAAATTAAATTTTTATGAGCGTTTGAAATTCAAATTTTTACAACATTGGATATTCACTCGATTTCTCATGTGGCAATTTCCTTTTTTTGTTGTAATTAAAAAACGAATTACTGTAAATACATGAAAATTTCACTGAATGTTCATATTAGCATTTCCTATACACTGTACAATTTTGAAAATATTTTGACTCTTTTTGAGCTGTTTACGGACATTTTCAGTTTCCATTTTTTTTAGTTTTTTATTTTATAAATATCAATAAAGTTTTATCTGTTGGGCCAAAAAATGTAAAAATGTAATACAAGGTATATAAGTATACCAGTCTACAATAATAATTTGTAACAATAACAATAATAATTTGATATACATTACGTTTGGCTATGCTATATCTATATAGCCATTACATTAATACGGCGAGTATCGTTGGACAATTTCTATTCTGAGTTCTGGAAACCAGACCATGCTGTTCGAAAATCGAATTGCATCTGATGAGATAAAGTACAAGCTGTTATGTTCTTATTTGTAATCGTCGTGAGAAAGATATATATCGCGTTATAAAGATAACTATGTAATAATAACAATAATATCATAATAGAAATTTTTGAAGATGGTTCAACTTTTTTTACTCAATTATTTGAGCCTAGGATATTTTAACAATAGAGTAGGGTGGCGTTGGCCATTGGCCCCAGGCTACCCTTTGCTACGTGCCTGCAAAGAATCAGATGTTCAGGATTTGTATAAATAAACATAAACAGACATAAATCAATAAACTATAAATATAATCACAAATGCAAATTAGATTTCAAAAATGTAATTTCATTACTAGATGCATCGGAAATATCCCATAATTTTAGAGGGGGCTAACATTTAAAAATACTTTATTACATATTATCAAAACTGCTCTCAGCACTTGAAAATATAATATTACCATAAACACCATGCAAAACCAAGCATGATTTATTTTAAACATACTATAGGTGTTATATATTTACTCGTACATGTACTTGAATTTTAACTTTAAATTTATCAGAAACATAATATAAGTTTTTTTTTTTTTATTTTAAAAGAATATTTACAACCTAAACAACAGACGAGGTATAATGAGTAAGTGTGGTGACATAGGAACATTAGACATAAATAACATAATAGGAAGGCTCCCAGCAGTGCCACCTGACCAGAAATAAAAAAAAAAAACTAAATTATTAAATATTAATTTACTGTAACAACCTTGTTATTTAGTTATTAATTATTATATTAAAATATTTATTTTAAAATAATATATCTCTTTTTTTTGCAAATGTATCCAGTATGATTTCTCTATCAATTGTCTTGGAAATATCATATTCTATACTAATGACAGCTAGGTATAGCTAAATTGTTGAATCTATTTTGCAATATAGATGACCTCAACCATGTTTTTATTCTTCTCATTGCTGAAAAACTATGTTCATATGTTGATGAACTTGTGGTTAAAGTAAGTGAAACTTGCATAAGACTTATAATATATGTTTGGGTACATATCTTTAGAAAGTAGGTACTGAAGTCAAATATTCTAAGCTAATACTGCACTTGCCAGTTGAAAAATGTATATAGTTTTTCACGACACACATTTCTGATTGAACACTTATACTTTTTACATTCAATAGCTCCTAGATAATAAAAAATTATCTTTTATATAGTAATAGCATAATAAGAATAACTTACAATAAATAAAATAAATAAATTATAAAAATTCTATTTTTAATCCACAGGTCATATTATTTATAAATTCAGTAATATTCAATTTTGGTAGCAAGTTTTTAAACTAAAATCACCTTATAATGATTAATAAACAATTAACTCTTTTTAAAATCTAATTTGACGAAATTGTCAAAAGCTTCAGCCATTTGAAGACTATCAGTTGAAAACCTTTTCTTAAATTGACAATTACATAATACATTAAAATAATATTCTATGTTGGAGCCATAAAACCAGATTAAACTGGCTGTGATATAGCTACTTTACATTTTATTACTCTATGAACTTTGGTAATGGAATCAGAAATACGAACAAACGAGATATTTTTTCCAAAATTTTTTTTTTATTTGCGTTGCAAGAATATTTGAATTGAAAATTAATATTTTACTTATATTATTTTTGAGGGGCCTAATTTTTCTGTTTGTACTTTTTGAGGGGGCTTAGCCTCCTCAACCCCCCCCCATTTCCACCCATGCATCGGGCATAATGCTGGTATGGTACTAATGTCAGTAATATGGTATGAACTATGAATGTATGATTTAAAAAAGGTTGGTACATTTTGGTTAAAATAACCATGGACTTTATACTTAACATAAGGTCTATGAAATACCGGACCGTTTGCAACCCACCAAATAAATATTATGACTATTGCTGTATTGCCTTTATATTTTGTGAATTCTGTGGTATTATCACAGAATAGATTAAATTCTGTTTTTAATCCACGGTCTTAGAAGATCTTCTTCTATTAATCTATTCTGTGCCCTGTGGTCAAGGTGTCTGTGGTATTATAATATTTATAAACATAATCATTTTCTACACATAATCGTCAGTCACTTACTTTCGTCGCTAGATGGCACTGCCGTATACTATATTTCATTGTCGGCCCGATCTTATGGTTGAACGAATCCACAGGCTGTGGCTGGAATACATTTTACTCATTAAAATACTTAAATACAGGAATAGTCAAATTTTATTGAACTATAAAACAAATCATTATACATTTTAATTTACGTCAAGAATTAAAATATATTTTCTTAATTGGTGGTTTACGTGAATACGTGATATTATATTGTTCTATGATTGTACTGTCTCCGTTGGTCTAACGATAATGTCGAAAAAATCATTCACTACTTCAACTGCTTTATACCAAATTTCAAAGGGAGAGCAATTTTGGATCTCTTAGATGATTTCAATTTTCAACAAATTTTCATTCTCCTTGAAGAATAATAAAAAAAGAATAGAGGGCCGGCCGGCCGGTCCTCTGCTTCCTTATCGCTGATCTCTATTTCTCTAGTCCATGTGGTATTGCGAAATCGTTATCACAAAAAAATAAAAATCATACTATTATCACAGATTATATTAAACTTAATTTATAAACTAAATTAAATTAAGTTAAGTAATAACTTAAGTTATTAAAACTGTCCTATTAAGTTCGAATCTTGTATTCTTGTGTTAACATTTAATAATTTTAAATTTTCATTGTAATAACTAATTACACAATACATCTAAGTCTAGTGTCCACCGTTTTATAGAATAATATTTTAAATTTGTTTATATTATACATAGTAAGATCATGTATTCTTCAATCGTACTTCGAACTTGTCGTATTTCACAGTTTAGAAGTTGTTTGAACAAAGTGAATACTCAACATCCTTTAGCCGCAGCAGTCTGCCTCAAACATGTGAGTTCCGACAGTTATACATTTTTACAATCTTTATTAATGCGTGTATCCAATTATAGACATCCACCGAGTCCAAGATAAAACAGTATAAACGTTCAGACTAATTGACGCAGAGTGGAAAAACATCTACATTGGAACATTGGGTCCACGAATCCGTAACTTGAAAATCGTATCATTTATGACCAGTGCCGTAGGTTTGTGTATTCAGCCAATGGTGATACAAAAAGCTGCAGAAGTGGGCAGTAGTTTAGCAGCCACCATAGGTGTATGCACCATTGCTGGATTTTTTACATTTATTACACCAGTACTCATTCATTTGGTAACAAGAAAATATGTGACGTCTATCGAGTATAACAAAAAAACTGACGAGTACAGTGCCACAATTATTTCACTGTTCTTAAAACCTAAGAAGGCAAGTATTAATAATGGGTTTATTTTAGATTAAGACTACATACTCATATAAAAATAGATAACTATGCTTGAGTTGAGAAAAATTATGACAGAAGCTCAATCAAATGTCTTAAAAGTATATTCCAAGTTGCAATATTATTTCATATTTTTTTTTAATTCATTTTTATTTTTAACATTCAAATTTATTTAGTTCTAAAATAAAATAATTTTCCTCGTTTTTACATTAAAAGCTTTATTCACTGTGATAAAATTATTATTAAAATAGATCACTGATCTGTTTAGTGATATTTATTTTAAATAAATAAATAAATTATATAAACCCAAGCCCTTGTATTTAAAAGGTGAGTTAGTTAATCAAATAAATTAACTTGGCTTAGTGAAGTTATTGTTAAAAATGTTAAATTATGAGTTAATTCTGAAAAGTTAACAAAATAAATTTAAAGTTAACATGGAGAAAAATATTAACTTAGTTAAAGGCGGTAAATTATTTTTTCTTATTTCCACTTGGGTGGCACTTAATTACTTAATAGCAGCTGTTCCACTACTAATGAATAACTAAATATTTATCAAAATACATCCTATTAGCTATTCCTTCTTATTACACACAAACTGTTGTGGTGGTTTAGGCAGTATAAAATTTAGTGTCAACTAAGTTTTCTAATCCAAGAATTTTTCATTAAATGAAAAAATCTTAATTATTACAATGGATAATTTAAATAGTTAAATTGATTAAAAAATTAACTAACTAAATAATTAAGTTGAAAAAATAAATTTATTTTCTAGCTAATGACCAATCTTACTAGTATTAATATACTAATAGAAAAAATTGTAAAAATCTTTTAGTGACAATTATTGACGTGATTAATAAAAAAAATTCTAAAAATTACTATTTAAAGTATTTTAGTTAATTTATTGTAATCAAATTGATTAAATAACTGTATTTTAATTATAAGTAAACATTTAACTAAAAATATTAAATTTATTTTCAGGTGCAATTTAAACCATTTGAAGTAAGATTGCCTTTGACACAGAAATTAACAGTCACATTTTATGCAAAAGAATACCCTCTATTTGTGGATCCACAAGCATTTGATGATGTAATGCATTATCAACGTATATTAGGTTATGATAAGCCTTTCACATTTGAGAAAGAAGATGATGATAATGTTATAAGAAAACCTGTAGTTAAGGCTGCTAATAAGAGTTAAGTTTAAGTTTTACTTAATAGTTGTTTATTATTATTTTATTGAATCTGTTTTGTAAATACATACAATTTCAAATATTTACTGTGCAATGTATACAATTTTTATTTTCTTATCCAAGACATTTTCTGGTAAGTTTATTAATTGCTTATAATTTATATTAAATACAATCCCTTAGAACCGGAAAGTACAAAACAAAAGTTATTGTTAGCGCCATTTGACCTTCAAGAGACCACCATTGCAGGTTGTGGGTGGATACAAATGACTATATAAGAATATATTATGCGTGGGTGATAAACACATGTTTACATGCCAACTTTTCCCATAAAAATTGGAATATTAATCATGAAACTGTTGCCTATGGGTATCTATAGACTATAATATTATATATAGTACTAAATTAAAAATATTGCACCTAAATAAATATTAAATGTACTCATGTTGCATAAAAATAATAAATTCATTGATGAGGTCATTATGAACGTCTAACCCAAGTTCAAGTAAGAATACTTAATATTTAAGATTGTGGTAATACTTATTGCACCAAGTACATAATGTTTTTAATTAGTATTCATACTTGTATACAGTGGCATAAACATGGGCAAGGCGGTTGACAGGTGTTTTTATTAAATATTTATATATATTTCATATAGATACACCAATCCGTTGGGAATTTCTATGAATGCCACGATTCATGTATATTACATTTAAACATTTAATATAATTAAATATCTATTTTACATGCTTTATGAATGGATTGGATTATTTTTGTAATCATTTGTTTTAGAGTTGTACCATGATTTTATCGAAAACTGATTTTGTGAAAAATTTCCTGGTTTTCCTTAATTTTTCCTCTGCTTAGAATCTAAAAAAAAAACTTTCATTTTATTGAGAAAAATTAACTACTAAGTAAGTATCTGGTATAGGTATATACCATATACACCTCTAGGTGATGTACGGACATTCAACTAAATATAAACAGCTATACTTATAGGCTATAGCCTATGGGTAGTTTTAATTAAAATATGATTTGCATATAATGTCAGACGTCAACACTTCTACCTAGGCATTATTATTTTTACAATAAATAAATAATATATATAATTGTTACCTTTATAACATGTGCAAAATACTTGTTCGTACAATATGAGTGCACTGTGTAAGGTGTAACGTTGAATAAATTATTATATTTGATATTAACAAATCGAATAAATTATAACTAATTACAGTTATTAATTATTAGTTATGACAATGAATATAAATGATAATATCAAGAATACAGGTAGGGATTTTATTTCTTAGAAATCATAAATTGTATGATATAGGTACCCTTGCTTATTGTATTTATACGAGTTAACCTACACAAAGAGATATGTGGATGGAGAATAACAATCTTTTTTTATTCTATTTTTTAGTAGGTAGTCACTGGTATTGTGACCCTTTATTAATTTAATATTCGATGAACATAATTTTAATCGAACATACGATTCAATAATCAATAGTAAAACAAGTAGGTATTGAAGTATGTGATGAAAGAACAGTTCGAATATGTTGACAGTATTCTCATTAGTTATTATTAAATCACGTGGCAGTTGTTACTTGTTAATTGTTGTACGGTAAACTTTATAATATTATTATTGTTTACGGAAGAATGCTGTATTCTATGAATTATTGATGAGTGGTACAGTGGTGGTTTGGGATGAATCCCCTTGTACTTTTTTTTGTAACAATTGTAACTCTTGCAGGGGTGGCTCCAAGCTGTATTTGTAAACAATTTTTAATAATGTTGAAAACAAAATTACATATAAAATAATCGACATTTTCTGAAAATTATGACTTGTCTAACCCCCCTCCCCTTTAACCATGTCACTGTAGCCGCCCCTGAACATTTGTACGTAGGTACCAATTACTTAAGAAAACATAATCAAATACATTATTAAATATTTATCAACAAGTTTATTCGATTAGTGGACTGTGGTAAATGGTAATACGATTGTCCATTGTCGATCGAACGATTGAAAATATTATGATAATCGGCGAACATCTGATGATGAAATTCCAAATACTAAATGGTGAAATTATGAAATTTTTCCATATTTTGAAGTACATCTTTATAATATCTCTTACCTTATGATTACAATTTACGATTAAATCAATTCTATTGATAACGTAAATTGATTATTGTAAAACCTCGTTCTCATTCCGCGTAGGTAGCTTAAGGGTTGGCCTTGTTATCGTGGCACCGCAGAGATGAAATAACCATCAACTATCTATAAAATACAGATGAGGTTATTGAATTGGTACTAGCTTGCAAAATAAAATTAGATTTTATATTATAAATTTAAAAAAATGTACAATATGTTACTATAATAGTAGGTAAAATATAATATTACGTTTGTGAGGCCACCAAAAATTCATTTTTCTTTGTTATCCTCGAAAAAATTCTAAATACATGCCTATTGCCTAATAAATTAAAACCTACCAAAAAATAACATTCGTCAAAATGAAGAAAATACTAATGATATTGTATGAACTGTGATGAAGTAAAATAGTAATTAAATAGTACTTGGATAGTAGGTACAATAGTAAAATCATCGAGATCATTATTTATTAATATTATTAAATATTAGTATTTTAATTTAGTATGCATAATTAATATTGTTTTGGTAAACTCAACAGTCGGTACCGTGAAAAATACGTGGGCAGCGATGTTATTATCGTCGTGTGATTGAACTTTAAATTGCAAATACCCAGTGCAAAGATACATAAATCGCAGCAAACGCGTTATACAATGCAGTATATACGAATAGTACCTACCTGTTATTTCGATTCAATAATAACATAAATACTGCATTAGGTACCGGCTTACTGCATGCGAAGTATGTGCCTACCCATAATTAATTTATTTTATATTCACTGTTTCTCTAACAATAATATATTGTTATTCTGGTTATTTACTCTCGTGAGACGTGGATAAAGAGTCTGAACGGCTATAAAGTAGTCGAGTTGAATATATACAGGTATACCTATATATGAATGATGACCCTACAGGGCCTGATTTACGATTTTTAGATCCAGATGGCAGTAACATATTAGTATATGATATATAATGGGCAGTGGCGATTTTGATAAAACATCAAGGGGAGGCTATTTTAAATTTTGTGGGCCTCCCCCCTATAATATATCAAATAAAATTCAATTTGTATATGGTCCTATAATAAATTACGTACAACTTTAATATTTTATTTCGTAATTTAAATAGTTTAGTTTTAATGGAATCTTTATAAAGTACCAGCCTCTGATTTATACTTACCTTAAGGCTTTAACAATAAAGTAATACAATAATAAGATGTATAGAACATAACAATTGACACGGAATAAAATCCAAGGGTGAGGGGGTGAGCGTCCCCTCCCCCTAAAAACCGCCACTGATAATGGGACCCTATTAGAAAGAAAATACTCTGACACTTGATGATAGAATGATAGATTCGATACATAGGTGGAAATCCATTAAAATTTCAGGGGGGGCTAACATTGTTAACATTAATGTAGGTGGAGGGGCATCGATCCTACAAAACTAAAAAAGGAGGGACTTGAAGGACTTTTGGGGGGGCTTAGTCCCCTCAAGCAAGCAACCCCTGATTTCCGCAAATGATTCGATACCTAGTATATTCGATCTATGCAGACATGCATTGGAGTATGTAAATTTTCTATGACAGGTGGGGTCAGTAGAAAAAATCCGATGATATCAGTGATTATAGATCTATTATCTAAGTATATCTTGATAGTTGAGATTAATATACTATTTTTTTACTCATTTTTCAAATAGATAATAGGCCCTACTGACCATGTTAGTTTTTATAGTAGAAAAACTGTCCCAAACATATCAACGGTTCTTATAGTTTAAAAAATGCATCGGTTTTATGAAACCAATTTAAAGTCTGCATTTTTAAAAAGTTAATTATTTAAAAATGTAAAATTAAAGGTTTTTATGCCTTTTATATAGTTACAACAATGAAGTTATATTCAAGGATTATAACATGAAACCTTCTGAGGCAATTTAATAATTATTATAGTTTACACTACCTTTATTATCATCAACCGACGCAGTAATAAAAGTTGTTTTATATAACACAAACAAAAAACGCGTGAAATTAAAAATGTAAAAATAAACCGTAGGTAGTTTCCTTCAACGTTTTCATCCGTCAGGATGGATATTCATTATTGTTATTGTATTAGAAATAGAGGTAAAAATATTTTTATTATGTTTCGTGCAGGTACTTAATAGAATTCCTTGCACCTATTATGCTACGTACTACTTACTTGAAAAATATTTAAAAGAAACGAAACCCGCGCGTTAATTTTTATTTACGTTTCATATATTTTAGTATTTTGATTGTTACATCGAAAACACTTTAAAATAAGATACAATTTCAACAATATTAATAGTTTGAACTGCATTTGTCCACATTATATTTGAAATGCGTTTATATATTTTATAATATTGTATAATGTACACATGTATTATGTACTGTCCGATAAAGTCTTGGATGTAAATTATAAATGGGTGGACATTAATGTTGATGACTATCGTCCAGAAATTGTGAAATTATACAATAGACGATCTTTGTATCGTGTTTGCCGTTTGGTAATAAACAGGAAATTACGACGTCTCCGTTCACGTCTATATAATATTGGACAAATGGTTTACCATTATAATATTATACCTATTACCTATTGGCTATTACCCATAAGATAATAATAATGTACAATTTTTTTTAAGTTTGATAAATCACTTTGAGCGCTTATGTTGCGTACGAAGAATTACAATTTTGTGTCGTAAACTCATACATATTTTGATGGCATATTATAATATGCAAAAATAGCGAATTGTGGTTCTCGTGTTTAAGAATCATGTACGAACATTTGACCGCAATGAAAACACAAGGATAAACGTAGATATTTTTAAGGCGAGGAGCAAAAGCTGAAAAATTATCCAATCAAAA